TTTTTGGGTACCTCCCAGATTTACCATACGTGATCTCTTGCATGAACCCCGCGGTGATGACAATGCGTTCCTCACCGACGAGTCCGCGTCTATATCCTGCTGTCCAGGCATACTCTATCGCCGAGGACCCCTCGCCGGCCAAACTGCAAAGGTGGGTTCGTCAGCTCTTGCATGAACCCCGTGACGCGTTGGGTTCTGCGGCCTGTGGGGCCGCAGGGCGCTGCCCATGGTCTCGGGTACATTCAAGTGCCACAAGTGTCGGCGCCCGGACTTCTGCTGAGTCGATCGGTTTCTCCCGGCGACCCAACCCATTACCACCAAAGCAGGTACCCAAAAAGTCGACTCAGCGCCCGGACTTGTGCTGAATCGATCGGTTTCTCGCGATGACCCAACCCATCCTCACCAAAGCAGGTACCCAAAAAGTCGACTTTTTGGGTACCTCCCAGATTTACCATCGGACGTCATCGCTTGCATGAACCCCGTGATGCTGAACCCTTCTCCCCATAAAGGATATCATTGCCTAAGAGTTCAGACCCATCACCACCACAGCAGGTACCCAAAAAGTCGACCAGATAGAGTTACCATGCGGGATCTCTTGCATGAACGCAGGTACCCAAACAGTCGACTTTTTGGGTACCTCCCAGATTTACCATACGTGATCTCTTGCATGAACCCCGCGGTGATGACGATGCGAGCCCAGGACCATTTTGGACCGTGCTTATTTTCCCGCGCGGGTCGAGACAAGAGGACATGCAAGAAAATGTTTGGAAAAGCACCCTCCCGAATAAACAAAGCCTAGAGCATTCCTAACATCTAGTCGAAAACGTCACAAAATCTAAGTGCGGCCAAGAGTATTCCTAGGAAAAATCAAGGGCATTGGCCGGGAACTAGCAAAAGGTTACTAATTTTGAGGGGAAATCTGGGATGCTACAAAAGCCTTTGAAAGTTCCATAGGTTAGCAAAAGGTTACCAATTTTTGGGAGAAATCTGGGAACCTAAAGACCAGAAGAAACGCTAGCCGAAAACATAACAAAATCTAGACAAAGCCTACAGCATTCCTAGGAAAATGCCAGAAAAGCATTTGAAAATCTCATAAACCAACAGAAAACGTGACAAAATCTACGAAAAAGCAAGGGCATTGGCCGGGACCATGCCGCGACCAGCCCGGGATTCGAGCCCAGGACCATTTTGGACCGTGCTTATTTTCCCGCGCGGGTCGAGAGGGTGCCCCAAGATGTAAATCAATTGGGATGGCAGAATCTTGGACAATTCCCGGGTCGCTCAGGTAGCTTTCAGGGCACAATTTCGTAACTCCGACAAGGGTCCGGAGGGGTAGGGGAGGTAAGGTCTAGGTCTAAGGCTAAGGACTAGGTCTAAGGCTAAGGACTAAGGCTAAGGCTAAGGCCTAAGGCTAACATCGACAGTCACGCCTCACCCCACGGTGTGAGGTCGGCGGATAACCGTTTTGAGGCAAGCGGCACTTAGGGCAAAGCATGGCAAACCCATTGGAAGCCCAATCAAAGTTGAAGTTGCTGGGCAGGGTTCTGAAGTGACTCAGGGTCATGTGCCCACTCCCACGAATCTACGGAAAGCAAAAGTGTTTGTCACTCTAGCCATATCATGCCATACGTGATCACTTATGTGCCCCATGCCAAAAAATGCTTGACGGTGGTATCCCACAATCATGGTGAGCCAACCCCAAGAATCGTCAACAGACCATACTGCAGCAAGAAAAGGAATACCGCTATCAGACCATCTGAAGATGTGACACGGGGTTAACACAGCTTGTGACATCGACTTCCACCAACTTCCGCCAGGTTAAGCAGGACATCGGACTCATATGATTCATATGTTATGAATGAACCTTTAAGAGTGATGCCCATGTGCTGCCCTCTTACTTGCCCTGAGAAGGTGTCATATGTTGACCATAAGGTAACTCATATGATCATAAGCATTCATATGCAAGGTTTCCCTCGTTCCTCTCTTTCCGCTCCAAGGCTGAACCTCATGGGGCAGTGTGACAGCTGGGGCCCAAGGGCCAGAGGGCCGTTTGGCACGTGGCTTCCGCCGTGCTTCGGAAGCCACGGTGGCAACGGGTGCCAACGTGAATTCCTCATTGGAGGCCAACGTGAAATATCGTGAATTCCTCATTGGAGGCCATGTTCCGACGGTCTCTGTGTGATGGTCAAGAATGAGGTAAGGTAGACATACTTCAGGAGGCAAATTTGGTAACAGCTTCCCTCCAGAATCTCATTCACATGACTGACTTCTCTTTCCCAATGAAGTTCCGGTGGAGTAATTTCCACCCCGAACTAAACTACGATGCTATAAACTCACTTCGGAGTGGAATCTGCCCCGGAATTCCACTGTGATCCCCCGATGGGAATCTACTGGAAAAGGGTTGCAGGTCTGGTGACCGACTTTTGTCCTGTTTGTGTCGCAAAGGACGCCCACCATGGCCAACCAGCATCGGGACCTGAGGGACTTCTGATGACTAACCACCCAACAAAAATGGTTCGTGCCTATCAAATCAGGGGCCCTTGGGTCCTAGGTAGATAGTGGATGGCATGGACCTCGCAGAAGACCATTTCCCCTTCCCGGTACCAAGGGCACCAAAAGAACTTCATCAAAGGGCTGGACATGGAATACGCCTTGAAGCCTGGAATCGGAGGACAATGTCAAACAGCTTCCCACTCCCTGTGTGAACTGGAGGTTGAACTATGTTGAACACACATCAACTCACTACTTGATGGATCTTGGTTCCTTCGGCAATGCTGACATAACCCATCGTGGCCCTATAGATATGTCTTTACAGACCCTACGGACCCTGACGGCCTCTCTAGGACCCTAAGAACCCTAAGGACCCTAGATATACTCTATAGGACCCTAAGGCCTCTTGCTTTCTCGACCACCATGGTCACCGAGGCGCCGGGATCAGCATGGCACCGCCCCCGGACCGCGGCGCCCAGCGGCCGGCGGAGCCCGGAAGCTGAGTGAAAATGAGTGTCGGTTTCCATCGCCAGCTGGGTACTGTGCCTGCAAATCCCAGGATCGAATTCAACTTGATGACACTTGGGTGATATTTAAAGTCATGTGCTGTTTTTTTTGCCCTCTTGATTTAAAAAGAAAGAACCTCAGACATGCATGGTAAAGGCTCTTTATATGGGGTTGATCTATTATTTCAAGAGTCTACATGACTGCTTGTTGGCGCATCTTTCTTTGCAATCCTTTGTAGTTGAAAGATGTCACGGTGGTCCCATTGACCCTTCTAAAGTCTCTAGAGGTGTATGAAGAGACAGAACTCAAACGAACATGGCCAAAAGCGCGGGGGTTTTGGTTGCCAGGCGCATCCAGGCGCTATTTAAACCATTTGAGCCATACGAAAAGCAATCAGATTGATCAAGAGCTCCGGAACCAAGCTGCGCTGACCCGCCACTCCCAGGCCTCCTTTCGTGCGTAAAGGTGAGGTGAAGCAGGAGACTGGCCGGCTGTGGACGGACCTATTGACCTATTCCGTACAACTCTTTACCATGCTTACCGGTCTTTTTTAATGGGATGCACCCCCCCAAGAAGCTGAAGTGAATACATCATGGCGTACCGTAAGGCCAACCTCTTCACTCGAGTCCATCCACCTGCTCCCCAGCCAGCAATGCTTCATGATCCGCTCCCGCTGGCATCGCTCCCGGGAACTCCTTTTGGCTTCACTGGGAGGTGTAGCATTCTGGGCAGCCCGAGGTCCGATTTCCAGAGGTCCATAGTGCTCGATGTCCTGCCTCGTTCGAGTGCGACACTCCGGTTTTTAGGACGCCCAAGGAAATCGAGGAGGTCCTGCGTCTTTCCACCCGCGCCACGCCGGTCGCGCAGTGGCGGCAGGGACCGCGCGGTCCCTGACCGCGCCCGCCGCCAGGAGAGACCGACGCCGCCCTCGACGGCACCCACCGCGGAGTTCTATTCCACTTCCGGTAGCCTGACGCTGGATGACACCACCAGGCGCGCGGCGCAGCGCAGCGCGTGCCAAGCGCCAGCACTTCGGACCCCCCCTAGCTTGGGTCGCGGGCTGAAGTGAGATATGTCGCGTGTTGTTTCTGGTTGGTGGGGGGAAGGCGGTGCCTTTTAACGGTTTTGTTGTGCTACTCCGGAAGTAGAAATCATTGATATAGATGGTGGAATTGTAGAATTGACATAGAAATGGTGGAATTGACATAGACCAGCATGAATTGCACCTGTTCTAAAGTCTACTCAGGAGCCACACCTAGAACTCCCCGGCACACACAGTTCTTCCAGGCCCATAGTGCCATAGAGCTCGATCTCCAAGCATGTCCAGATCAGAGCGCTTTTATCCGGTCAGGGTAGCCCACTGAACCGGTCAGCGGCTCCCTGACTTGATGTGGGTTGGATCTACGACTGGCACCAAGTGTATGTGTGCTTGTGGTCATATTCCAAGAATTCGCCCGAGAAAAACCACAAATACTAGTTGTAGCTGCACGGATTAAGTACACCAAGCTCAGAGCAGCTCTGGCACAATTCCAGATGTTGTGGGGCATGGAGGCTAGGTCAGGGGACCTACATACGATGGATTTGTGCTATCTACCTTGAATCACAGCGCGGCATTGTACAAGTCATGTTGTTCACGGTTCTCTACTCCTGGCTTCTTCACCACACCCCCCAAAACCCCAGAAGGAGCGAGGCAATGCGAACACAGCGATGCCCCGGGATTCGATCCTCCACCGGGGTTAGCCGATGCCAAATGTCTTTAGCCTTTACCCTATAATATGCCTTTACCTTGATCATCCTTTTTGTTGGCAACATGAGGTCTATTTTAGCAGTTTATCACCTTTAAGGCTTTGAGGCGAAAAGAGAGGACAGAAGGGCATTTTAGATGAGGATTGGATTCTTTTTAGATTGGATACTGGGACATGGTCAGGGCAGTTTATAGGCAACTGGGTTTTAGTGTTAGATGAGTGCAGGACCCAACAAGGCCAAACTGTTCATACATGGTCCAACTACTGTAATAGGAAAACATACCATCTAGTCATTCAAGACATTCAGTGCTCGGAGGGAGGCTTTGCGCTTAGCTGGATTTCACCTGCTGGGCTGTTCTTGGTTGGCCTTGGTTGGCCCTTGGCAGGTAGACACAGGCAATCCAGCCGTTAGGGCCCTTGCGCCTGCCCTCCCCCATTTCTACGAGCTTGAAGCTATCCCACAGCCACAGGCTTTCTGGTAAATCTTTTACCTGAGACTCTTTTAGGGACCTATCCTCTAAGTGGGGACCTTTGGCCATGTTTGACAAAGTTCTGCGATGTTGCGAGGCATTTTATAGTTTCTGAATTTGTGCCTTTCTGTTCGCCCTTTTTTGGCAGTGGGATCCTCACTGGGCATTTCTTAGACAGTGCTTTTTTTTGATCAATTTTCTATGGTGAACCCGATATGGACATTATATAGGCCTGCTGGTTTTTGTGCAATTTTTGGTGTGGAATGCTCAGAATCCACTTACCCCATTTTATATTATAGTTTTGATGATTGTTTGCCAAGTTTGGCATTTTATAGGACATCATGCTTATTCATGCTCCAATTACTCCTCACAATGTGCTTGACCATTGATGCCATTCTTGTCTTATCTTGCCCCTGAAGTAGAAGGGTCGCATCGCATTGCGCTAAAATGTTCCACTCCCTAAAATAATGGAAATGGATGGCATGGCCCCCCCTTGGATGACCATTTTTAACAATTTTCCTCTAGGAATAGGTGGTTGTCCACTTCCATGCTTATTTCTAGGACCTCCGGAGAAAGCGTTTTGGGGTTGAATGGGACGGTTCGCTAGCCTCTTTTGAGCTAGCCTGATCCATTGGAGCCGTCTTTGGGGTCAAGTGCTGAATCAGTGATCCAACAACCATCCATCAGGGTCACCGCCTGCGACCGAAAATGAGATCAGCAGGCTGAAAAGCCTTGGGCGAGCCACAAGGGCTTGGGATCAAATTGATGATGATTGATGTCCAGACTGCACAATGAATCCTCACCACAGCTTCAGGGGCCATCCCAGATTCGGATGTGGGTGAACACTAGGATACCTTGGTTGATCTACAGGCAATACTATACTTGCGACTGTTTGAACGCGCACCCCAGGGCCCTTCTGTTCAACAGGGTGGCCGGGGCATGTGGTAATGACCCTGCACAAGAAGATGGCTCTGTGCTACACAACTATACAGACTGAATATCCGCGAGGCACGATGTCAAGAAGCGAATGAACTAATTCATGGGTGAATTACAGGTATGGGCACCTCATCAAGAGCTTTGTGGCGGGTTGATCTACCTGATAGGTCGTTCGCGGCACATGTGAACGATCAGTCCGACGAACATGGTGGGTCAAGACCCATCCCCAGATGTCAATCCCCCCGACAAGGTGAGCATTTCAGAGCCTTGGAAGGACTGATAACACCATCGATTCCAGAGGTGAGAAGATAGGTGAAACCCGTGGAATGACAGGACTGGCAGGACGGTGCTAGCATAGGGACCATCAATTGATGTCAATTGGCATCATGGAACAACATATCTACTGTAGTTCTTTCATGTTGTGTTTGAATTTGACTTATAGAGATCAATTGAACGAGCAGTTCTTGCATGAACAGGCCCGTCAAGCGTATGATTGATTGATTGATTGATTCATTCATTCATTCATTCATTCATTCATTCATCGGGCCTCCAGGGAGCATTGATTTGTTGGTCAAGTCAGCGAGACCTGCTACAGCCATTGGTTCAATCTGTGGTTCCACCGGCAATGCCACCTTGCGGTGTATGCGCAGGGTTGTGAGGTGTTGCGTGTTGTCCAGCAACTGTACGCTTTCTGCGCCTGAGACTCGTCCAAGATCCCAGATTGGCCTCACCTGTGCTGAGAGCTAGCAGCTTCACAGAGGGCCGCCACCCGCGCACAAAAGGCCGCCAGCGGATCTCTCCGCGCAAATGAGTCAAAGTCAAGTCATTGAGACTAAATATTAAAGTATATAACTTATCTATACTTATCTCATATATGATATGTTCATGGTGGTTCGACCTCCCTAAACTGAGTTGCACAGTTGCCCCAAGATACAGATACCAAGTTGCCCCAAGGCCCGTGAAGCAGGGTGAAGCCTAATTACAGAGTGGGTATGTCACCCGCAAGTGATACATTACGTAATTACAGGTAAGGTATTTTTACATAAGAACCCTCATTGTCAACTACCCCAATTGATCCTGTTCCATGTTTTTTTGCCCATGTAGCGTATGCAATTGACATGCGTGGAGCCTTTTGCCCAGTCCGGCCCGTGAGATGCGCCCCCGAGGGTCAGCAATCATGTGATTGATCATACGGTGTGACTTAACACGGGCACTCAAAGCTGTTGAGTGCAGCCGTGAAATTCATGTGTACCTATTTGGCACTCTTTGGGTTCTTATGGAACTGCTTGAACGAATACATGTGCCATCATGTGCCCTGTTCATTGGGACGTATGATGACATACGTGCTATGTGTCGTGAGGTGGATGACTATTTTAGAGATATGTCCAGACTCCAGGTATGAATTTGGTGTGAGTACTCGCAGTTGAGCAAACAAACCAGCAGGTTTTGGGCTACAGGTATGCACTCATGACCCATACGCAATTTCCAGGTGAGATTAAAGCTTAATCAACCCCGGTCAGGGGTCATGAACTTGGGCCTTATCAACCTTATCAGGGGTTGTTACTTCATGCAGGGTATTCATTTCATATCCATAGATTTGGGCTCATGATTTGCCTCCAGAAACGCACAGTACGACGGCTCGGCGGCGCTTGGCGCAGATACGTAATGTCGGCGACCCCTGGTGAGACAGTGCACAAAAACCGCTGACCAGTCGCATTTTTGAAGCTACGAAGTGGCTTCAGCTGGTCCAGAATCCTCGTAAAACAAGCCACCCCCATGCAAAGATGTTGAGAAATGCACCATAAGGTAGTAAAAGACTTCCAGGAACCTACAAGGCCTTGCCAAGCACTAAAAATTTGGCCCTTTGAGTCCGCTTCTTTAGGAAAGGGATTTGCTTGAAACCTCGGCTTGAAGGTGCGGATGATGGGCGTTCAGATGGGCTTCGCAATGCTTCTAAAGATCATTTGCTCAGTTCCAAGAGGTGATTGCATCGATTTTTGGTAGCCATTAGGAAATACACCCCACCCTAGCCAGGAGGATGCGAACGTAACCGCATCTAGACGACGACGTAACCGCGTAGCTTAGCTTGTAGAGGATGTTGGGTTGTGAAGATGTAGACCACGGCACCGGAGTTTCGAAGAAATCCGCACAAACAGCAAAATGAATAGAAGATCAACGCTCACGCTGCGATAGATCAATGCGCCAGAAAGAAGGAGATAGGACATGGTGAAATGGTGCGCGCGGCGGCGACCGAACCAGTCGCCGCGCCGCTGAGGAACAGGAGAAGGGGTGAAGTGGAGTCCGGTCTTGAAATGATCTCCTATTTGATGCGTCTTTGATTTCCCTGCTTTCTTTGTGGCTATCTTCGGCTATCTTCTGTTTCTGTGTTAACTCCATATGTTTTATCAAACGCTCAAATCTTCTATTTGGAGATAGTGTTTGTTTTCTTCTAGAATAGGCCACCGGTCCATAAGATTATGATGTACGCGGCCATGTAGTGTCAAGGTCATGGTCACTTCAGCGGTCGGTGAGATCTCCGGCTGAAATAAATGCAGCGATGCCAGAAGTTTGGAGCGAAGCACCTTGTCTTTTGTATGAGTAGTTGTTGCTTACGTATGTTGAGAATTCTGACCAAGCACACCGAGCTGGAGAAGCTTTTTCGTGCTTGGATTGCCCAAGCTAAAGGGGGTGGTGGTCGATCTCACGGCCGAATTGCGGCCGTTGGTGCATCGGGTGCAGATGTCCAGATATTTAGGCCCCCAAGCTGGATTGAATAGAACATGCTAAAGTCAGGAAATCTGTACAAATCCATTAGCTCTTTCTGTCATTTTTTTTCTCTATACATGTGTGAATTACGGTCAGTGCTCAAGCTTTGGTTACGGTGACATTTCCTTTTTGGGTAACAGCCTTTTCATTCTGAACCAAAACTGCTTGGCAGTATAAATAACTTAGTCCAGCTTGTGCAAAAAAGGAACATAAAATGCAGCGAGCCAAGCTGCTATCCACTGTTGGATCACCAAATTGATTTCATAGCATGGCTGCAGATCCAAACCAAAAGTTTGGGCTTGACATTCTGCAAATGTATTTTTATATATTCAGATAGCCTGCTCCCGTCCATTTGCTTGGCCCAAATCTTGAAGATGGTTTGGCAAACACCCCTTGTCACCTCTTTTTTCCACCCTCATTTGGGTTTTACTTCTGTTTACCTGCAATCGACGCACTGGAGAATTCTTCGTCGCACGGTGCCTGCCACGCCAAGCATCGTCGCGACGGACGAAGCACACGTCGTCTCACCACAGCACAGCGCCGTGGCTGTGCTGACGAATGCGGAGAGAAACGCACGTAAAGACGGGGCACCAATACCCAGACACGACTAAAGGGACTGCCATATATGCCTACCT